GTTCTTGTTTCTTTTCTTCTTTATTTTCTCCTTGTTCTTGTTTCTTTTGCTGTTCTTGTATTGCTGCCATAAAATCTGCCAAGCTGTAGTTTGATTTGCCGCCTCTCGTTTCCATCTTCTTCTTCTTTTTTTTTTATTGCTTGTCCCACTCTCTGATACCAATTTGTTATGCCTCCGGTCGTTAGTTAATTTTCCGTAAATTTCTTTTCGAAGAAACTTTAGCGATACAAGTCCTGAAAGACTTATAATATTAACTGAAAGACTGCCAAATTTTGTGAAGATATACACACTATATTGAAAGTTAGAAGTATTAAATAATAAAGACTTTAAAGAGTACAAAGAGGTCATGTGGTCAATCAAATTAACCGAGCCTGTGTTGAGAGAGTTAACTCTTTCATGCAGCCATCCTTTTCTGTGCATGTCACTAGGTTTTACTGAATTACATTCAAAATTTAATTAAAGTACTTTATTATCATGATATTCAAATATATATATAGCATCAAAATGCAGCTAATAATTGAAATTTTGATATTATTTAAGTTTTAAGTTCTTAATTTTATAAGGCAAAATTTTTAAAAAATCCTCAATTTCCCTTATTATGAGAATTGTGACATTTGCTCTCTAGATATCTACTCTTCTCTAATTTATTTACTAACCTTCCGAGAAGTACAAAATTTATTGTAAATTTCCCATTATAATATTGTTATTACTCAGACAAAGCATAATTTTTATAGCCTTCAATCATATATGGTTATATAGCCATAAACTAGAAAATCAGACCCCTCTTGCCACACCCATCTGTTACATCCTGTTTTTCACAAATTGTCAGTAGTTCTCTCTGATGATTAAAATTATTTATAACCAATGGAAAGCCAGAATTTTAATTTATCAAATGATGTATTATATTACATTGTTTTTTGTACAGAGAATTGCCTATTTTGCTTCCAGTTCAAACTTTATCCCCATGGGAAACACATTGACGAGCTTAGCTGAATAGTTAATGGCTCTTGTTACATAGCTAGAAAACCAGAAAATTAAGCTAAGGAACATTGTCTGCTTTTTATTTGTTATTATTCTGTGTTCTTTGGTGTATTATTTAATTAATAAAAAAATTTAATGTAATAGTATTATTAGTATAAACAAATAGGATTAAATTTCATCGGCAGCCAACAGAAAAAAAATACTCAGGTAAATACTGTATTTGCTATTTTTCATGTGTATTCTTTATTTATTGATATAAATGTAACTAAAATATAAACGAATTAGAAAAATATGAGGTTAGATTAGGTAAAATAAATTTCACAAGGTACGTTCATGAGTAGCCAGTATGTACATAAATCGATAGGATAACATGAGTTACATGTTTGCCGAGTGATTTACAACTTGTGTGGTGCAATAATTAGTGAGACAAGATTCAAAGGGCAATAAAATATAACTATAAACATGCATATACTGCTTCAAGTTTAAAACTATTTCCGATAAATAAATGTAGTTTCGTGTTACAGTTTGAAGTCACTTTAGAAAGTAAAATATGGGTAATTTAGACTTACGTCATATTCATTATGGTGGTTCCACGTAGGTCAAACTGACTAAATGCATATAGAATTAAGGTAGAGGAAATAAATAAAATATAAAGTTTTACTGGAAAAAAAACGTTTGAAATTTATTTAGGATGTGTTAGAGATTACACAATTGTAACTTGACAACTTGTAACAGTTAACACTGTTTATCCCTTATATTCATTAAAAATTCTGATTTTTTGTCTACCAAAGACTTAATGTTTACTGAAAGCTTGAGAAATTTTATGAAAATACTCAAAACATATTAGAAGTTATAGTATGGAAACTAAAGGTCAATTTGAGGTCAAAAACTCTGCTGATTCGACCAAGCCCCTAACAAGAGTGTTTATGTAGAACATTGATGAATAAGTCAAACTTTTAAAGCATTCGTTCATTCACACTAACTAATATCCACCAGTTATAGTTGAAAAAATGTCACACAGCCACCACAAAAAACAAACTCAACTCATGAACAAAATTTATATTAATGAGTCAATCAACAAAGCACCATTTATCCCTGAAATCAGTTAAAGAATAATTCACTCACAGAACTTGCCATTAGACATAAAATTTCTGTTGACTTCAAATTAATCCAAAACGGACCATAAATTAAAATCTTTACTAAATAAAAAGTGTATACAATCATACAATGCCAATGTTATTTATAAAATAATGTATAGTAACTTCCAAGAATTCTACGTTATTTACTACCATTGCAACTTAAAAAAAATGTAGTATATCTATTAAAAACACTAAATTTAAACAAATGACCGGACATCAACAAGTGCAAAATCAAAGAAACTATTTTAATTGATCAACACCCTGGGGTGCCAAGATATGTTTAAAAAGTTGCTGAGTCTACTATTTTAATTGATCAACAGAGCCCTACTCTAAACCAACACCCTGGGGTGCCAAGATATGTTTACAAAGTTGCCGAGTCTCTGGTCACGTGACTTCTTTGTTTCAAATCCTAGTTGAGTGGGGAGTTATGACTTTTTTAGTTATTAACTCATCATGTTCAGAGCATCGTTTTACAGTGTTAGGAAAACCAGAATAAAGTGATAGCTTACATTAGGGATTGGAATTATTTGTTAACATTTAATTATAAAGACTAAGTATCACAGTAGTTATAGTTCTTTGCTATCATGTGGAAGCCTCACATTCAAATCCCAGTTTAATTGGGATTTTATGTTTATTTTTTTACATATTTATTATCATATTTGCAGCAAGCTCTTTGAATACTTGAAAAAATAGGAATACAACTGTAGATTAAATAAGGGATCATATTATATTAAATTTAATAATCTTTTCAACCCAATAGATGGTGCTACAATATATTGTTATTATTGTTTTTCCACTTATGTAAGAAATTTGTAAAATTAATCAAAAATTTTATAAGCATTTTTTATGAAAAGTTGTACCCTTGTGCATTTGCCCTTCAACATAAAATTTCTTTGCCTTTGCCATTGCAATTGATAAATTGTAGGGTCAGATATTTGAACATGTAGGAATATTTCTTCGAGAACCAGTTTTTTGCATGGTTCAATTTATAGGGCTTTATCAAGAATCACATTTGAACATACTATAAAAATATACGCAAGTCAAAATTCTTTTCGAGGATCACTTACAATAGATGACCAAATATACACAAAAAATATTGTTTTTATGAAAAAGGATTAACTTTATATGTATATATTGTTACTATATTATAATTAATTTTTAGAAAACGTTCTTTAAACAGTTATTTAGATTTAAAAAATTTCATAAGAAAAATTAATTAGCATTTACCATCAAGTGATGAGCAATCGGCTAGCATATATATATATATATATATATATATATATATATATATAATAGTGCTCATATTATAGAATTTTTATCATTTTGTATCAAAACTTCTTCAACCTACATATTTTTCTGACATCATGAATATACACATATAATCTTGTGTCTAGGTAAACTATTTCTACCTAATGATAACATAACCTTGTCAATACTTTGCACATTTGTTATTGTGATAAACTTGTAATAAAGTCTCCTTCATTACCATTCAAGCCATTTCTAAACTTTATTATTGTAATATTGTTTTTCCAGTTCACACCATCATAATTAATAATGCCTGGTAAAAAAAGGTTGACGTATATAATGTCTGCAAGTTTTTGAATATCGTTCAAATACAAAAAAAAGTGTACTTTATTTTAACTGCTCACAGTTCTCAGCATCAAGTTTTTATCAAACATAGGAACATACATATCATCATTATTGCTTTTTCATTGAGTGTGAAAACATACTTTTATGACACTATTTCAATTACTTGATGTTATAATCTTTTTTTTTATTAAATCTGTAGAAACTTAGTAACAAGAGTTTTTATTTTTTATTCTCTCCTTCAGGGTTGTTATAATAGAAAACTATGGCCATAAAGAAGAATCATAACTAAGTGGAGGAGCAAATACCAAGAAATCCTAACAGAAATTCTAATTTATTTAAATTAGGGAAATTATTTAAAACATTATGAGCAATGTGGCTGAAGTAGCTGGTACTTTTTTTTTGACACCAAAATAAATCGTTAAGCTTTCAAAAAAAAATGATGATAATAAGGAAATTTATATTCCACCTGTAAATCATTAAAGATAAAAAATTATTATAAAAATTAGACTTTAAATTCTGTTAATCTCATCTAGGAAGTAATTTCCTGATGTAGTTAAATTTCAGAAAAATAAAAATATAATAATTACAACATTCGTTGGGTAGTGCCTACTTCATTGTCCACAAATTTCAGGTAAATGATAGCTCATTCCTGTGTCACTTGGGTTTAAAAAGAAATGTAAATCATAACAACAACAAATATTTTCTACATTTTGGTCTTAAAAACAAAAATATTCGCTTCATTTTATTACAAGCGCTTTTTTTAAGGACTGAGATAGACATGCCCAGTGGTCAGTGTGCTAGACTGTGAACCGGAGGATCTATGGGACATTATGATTGCGTGTGATGGTGTTTGACTGTCTGTTTTGTGTTGTTGTTCATTATTTGTTGCGCTTTGTGTTTGTTTTTCACTTTGTTTTTGTTTCTTTGATTTTACTAGGGTAAAGCCCTCTTCATTATCATGG